TGGGGTTGGGGTTGGTGGGGATGGGAATAGGGAGGAGAAGGTTGAGAAGGAATTTTAGAAAATGTTTTCCCTTCTCTTGATAGGAAAATATTTTTCTTTAATTGGAGGAAAGATGAGAAAAATATTTTTCAAAACATTTAAGCCAGTCAAATATGAGAAAATTGAAAAATATTTTTCGGAAAACCAAGCACACCCCTAATGACTGCTATTTTTCTCTTTCAAACCACAAACAGATAAAACCTAGAATTTCAACCAAAGTATGATTTGTCTAATAGCTAAATGTTAAACGTAACAAATTTAACTATTGAGAAATCCAAAGTAGACTAACTTTGGAGGAAAAGAGTATCTCTAGACAAATTATACAATCAATAAAAAATATAAAAGTTAAAATGGTAATATTCAGGGGAATAATGAATATTGGTAAATGGATTAAAATAAGACAAACACAAGTTGAAAATAAAGGATGAAACAAACAACAAAATATTTTCTCATTATTGAACAGAACAACTTACTAAACGGACTACTCAATGCTAAATGTCATTGTCTTAGCTTTGTATTTGCCTCCTATTTCTCAACCTCATGCTTATAATTCCCCTACAAATCATCCAATTTTTTTGGCTAACCCCGATAAGTCGGTCGAGCTTAAGTTTTGTGCACTGACAGTATATACGATGGGACATGTTGTGGACATAGGGAAGCCGGTAAACTACACAGGCGGGCTCGAGTTCACGAACCTAACATACTCAGTAACAAAGAGGATAAAAGATGAAGATGGGAAATGGTTAAGTCAAGAAGTAGACTTATTGCATCAAATAACAGGATATGCACCAAAAGGTTGTATTACAGCAGTTATGGGACCAAGTGGTGCAGGAAAATCTACACTTTTAGATGGATTGGCTGGTAGAATTGCGAGTGGAAGTCTTAAGGGTAAAGTTTCAATGGGTGGAGTTGATATGAGTCCAAGTTTGATCAAACGAAGTTCAGCTTATATAATGCAAGAAGATAGACTTTTTCCTATGCTTACTGTTTATGAAACATTCATGTTTGCTGCTGATTTTAGGTTGGGATCACTCTCATTGTCCGAAAAACAGGATAGTGTTGAGAAGCTAATCGAGCAACTTGGATTATCTGTAAGTCGACAACAACTCATTCTCTAATGTTATATACATGTATAGACATAGTTCAATAGACCAACAATCAAGATTCAACATTTTTTCTTCAGGACTGAGGATATGACCCTTGATACGAAGGTATGGACGTCGAGGATTAGGGTAGTAGGTTAGTTAGTTTAGTGTTCTCCTTGTCATGTCGGTAGTATTAGTACGTACTTTCGTATTCTGTTGGTATTAGATTTTTATGACTATATGTCGTTTCTTTTTCGGTCATCTTAATATCTGGTTATTATTTATGCTACTTTTACATGGCTTCTCGCTGTTGCGCTTCTTGTTTTTCTCTTTATTAATGTGGTGCTATGTTTCTCTGAGCGGAGGATTTATTTGAAACAACCTCTCTATCTCCACAAGGTAGGGGTAAGGCTGCGCAGACATTACCCTCCCCAGATCCCACTATGTGTAATTATACTGGATTTGTTGTTGCTGTTGTTTGTCTGGAATTTCTTAAATCTAAACCTTTGTGTGGTTTTGATCATTTATTTTATGGCAGTCAACTAGAAACACTTACATAGGTGATGAAGGGACGCGAGGAGTATCTGGTGGAGAACGTCGTAGGGTGTCAATCGGGGTGGACATTATACATGGACCTTCATTGTTATTCTTGGATGAGCCAACTTCAGGTCTTGATTCGACTAGCGCTCATAGTGTAATTGAGAAAGTGCACGATATAGCCCGAGCTGGAAGCACAGTGATACTAACAATTCATCAACCTTCATACCGTATTCAATTGCTTCTTGATCATCTCATCATCCTGGCTCGCGGACAGCTCATGTATCAGGGAGCGCCAAATGATGTATCTCTCCATCTTGTCAGGATGGGGCGCAAAGTGCCTAAGAACGAAAGCTCGATAGAACACCTGATTGATGTAATTCAGGAATATGATCAATCCGAGTTTGGAGTAGAAGCAGTAGCTACATTTGCACTTACAGGTATGAAACCTCCACCGATAGGTGCAGCACACGAGATGTCAGCTTCCACTATGGCAGCTCCATCACCTGCCCGGCCATCACACCGTGCTAAACATCAGGCCGTGGAGGCACAGGGTCGTGACAAGGCGAGCAAACGTCTTCGCTTGCTAATCAGTGGTCAAGATGACAGAGAATTTGATAACAGTGTGAGGAGTCCCTGGAATACATCTAAGTCCTGGACTGCCAGCCAAAGTGGTGTTCTAAAATCTCTAGCATTTTCACCAGCTCGGCGCAATCATCCGAAAAGCCCAAGTATTATGGGGTAAACACACTCGATTCACTTCTAATTCATACTGTACAAATATCTTTCAAGTTATTAATTTTTACACTATTGTGTCATCTGAAAGATAACTACATGTAACGATCCATAATAAGTGCTATACTAATAACCAAGAAGATAAGACAGACAATAGCGAAGCCAGAAAAATTTTCAAGGGTACTCAAACTTGAAAGAACTGAAGAAAATTCCCCTACAAAAGGTGTTCAATATATGTATTTTATCAATATATACAGTGTAATTTTTCGACAAAGGATGGTCAATTGACCGACAATGTAGCTTCGCCCCTGAAGACAGATAACATAGTACAACAAGTTAAAATACATGAAATTTGACCATTTGAATGTTTGTGCAGTTCTTCTCCAGGATGCTACGCCTTTTCTGCAGAGATAGTTCAAGGTACTCCAACTCCTCACAGTAGTGACTACACTGTCAATGAAAATGACTATTTAACACCCAATGATCTTACACCCCATACCAATCATTCTATCCATGATCTCGGGCCAAAGTTTGTGAATTCCTTCTTCTCAGAGACATGGATTCTAATGAGACGCAACTTTATAAACATCATGCGTACCCCTGAACTATTCCTCTCTAGGCTCGTCGTGCTAACAGCTATGGGAATTATGATGGCCACTATGTTTTTGCATCCTAAAGACAACATTCAAGGGATCACAAGTCGCCTCAGTTTCTTCATCTTTACTTGCACCCTCTTTTTCTTCTCGTCCAATGATGCTGTTCCTGCTTTCATTCAAGAACGATTTGTCTTCATTCGCGAGACTTCTCACAATAAGTATAGGGCCTCTTCTTACACTATTGCAGGTCTAAAATCTTTTCTCGATCTTATTACTCCATGTTAGTAATTAATGTTTTATTTTTCTTGATCCCCCTCCCCCTTCGAGTTACCAAAGGAGCAATGGAGCTATTGCTCCTTTGGTAACTCGAACCTACAACCCTGAAGTGGTTGGTGGGGTGTGCTGACCATCTGAGCAACCCTCTCTTGTCAGGTGTTAGTAATTATTAGTACATGTCTTTTGTTATGAATGAAGTAAAACTTAGTCCTAATGAGTTTTGTACATAATGTTGCAGGTCTAGTTACTTACCTTCCATTCCTAGCTCTCCAGGCCGCAGTTTATGCTGTGATTGTTTGGTTTGCTCTATCGCTACGAGGACCTTTCATCTATTTCTTGATAGTTCTATTCATGTCATTACTCTCCACGAATTCATTCGTTATATTCGTGAGCTCAGTGGTACCAAACTACATACTAGGATATGCAGCTGTTATTGCTTTCACCGCGCTTTTCTTCTTGTTTTGTGGCTATTTCTTAAATAGCCATGACATGCCACAATACTGGAAATGGATGAATTACATTTCAACAATGACTTATCCATATGAAGGGCTACTAATGAATCAATATCAGACGATAGATTCGTTCGGAAAAGATCCTCTAGGAAGAGATGTAACAGGTTTTGGAATCTTGAAATCACTTAATATTTCACAAGATTCAAGCAAGAAATGGGAAAAAGTATATGTAATGTTGGGATGGGCTGTTTTTTACAGGGTTCTGTTTTATATTGTTCTTAGATTCTTTTCAAAGAATCAGAGGAAATGAAATAGTATTGAAAGTAGTAGGCATTGTAAAATCTGTTTGTATTCATATAATACAAGCTTCAATTGTATGCTTAATATAAATTTCTTCTTTTCTTCTAAAGAAAGTTTTTTTTTTTTTTTTCCACCTGATATCCGGTACTCGCATTGGAATCCGACTATATCCGGATTCGCGTCGCGTAAGACCCCATTCGGGGGGAAGCGCTCCCTACCAAGGATTTTTTCATATCCAGGACTCAAACTCGAGACCTCTGGTTAAGGGAAGAGCAGTCTCATCCACTGCATCACATCCTTTGATAGTAAGTTTTGTTACATATAGTAAAGGTCTGTCTAAGGCAGTACTACAGATATTAAGAAAATAAACCTTAGGTATTTAACTTGAATTAATTGATGTGTATAGGTAGAACTAGACTATATATTTGTATCAAAAAGAAATTATATTGTGTAAATAGATTTAAAAAACAAAAAAATTGGTATATTTTTGTTGTTGAGTCGCCTTGTATAATTCCTTGGCTTATTATCATTTTTAGCACGTGCCGGAATCTATTTACATGTGGTAGCAGAAAAAGTAAAACTTGTATAATTTTTGTATACAATATACATAATGTATATATAAAAAAAAAATCTACAAATTTTATACACTTTTTCGGTTATTATTTTTGCAACGGTTACATAGTGTCATTTTTCCTAATTTTTCTTGGCTTCGAAATTGGCTAGGAACATTAGTGAAGAAGGAATATATAAGAAGTCTTAAAATACCCTCAGACCCGCCTAAACTATACGATTTTTGTCAGTTTCATACCTAAACTATTGAGTGTCCCTGGAAACCCCCTGAACTATATCCCCCTTTGTAAGTAAACCCCCTCGTCGCTTATGTGGCATATTGTGTGAAATCAGATGCGCAAGAGCGCGTGAACAGTGAAAATTAACATTAAATGAGGCCCACCTGACGGCTTCAATTTTATTCTCTTTTTCTTTATATTACACCATTTTCTCCATTTCTTCACCATTTCTTCACCTTTCTTCACTTTTCTTCATCATTTCTTCACCCTTTTTATCTCTTTTTTTATCTTAATCCTTTTAAAATTCTCTCTCTATTTATCAAGTTTATTTTTTATCTTTCTCGTTTTATCCATCCTTCATTGTTACCCAAATAAATTTGAAAGAAGAACACCCATTGTAGAAGAGTCGTGAGGTTTAATGTGTTTTGTGGTTGTGGGTAGCCTACTTCTTTGAAAACATCAACGGCAAATGCTAACCTGAGAAGGCGCTTTTTTGGATGCAAGTACTAGGGCTAGTGCGACGGGGGGTTTAATTACAAAGTGGGATATAGTTCAGGGGGGTTCCAGGGACACTCAATAGTTTAGGTATGAAACTAACAAAAGTCGTATAGTTTAGGCAGGTATGGGGGTATTCACTCTTAGTTTATTTATCCACATGGCATGCCACATGGCATATTTTATAATGTAATTAGAGCGTGTATCATACGCACTAGGGCTAATGCGACGGGGGGGTTTAATTACAAAGGGGGTTATAGTTCAGGGGGTTTTCAGAGACACCTAATAGTTTAGGTATGAAACTGACAAAAATCGTATAGTTTAAGCGGGTACGAGGGTAATCATTTTGTTCTAATAAATGTCAGACTTGATACTGTTATTTTTACTAGTTGTGTCTGGAAAAGAGTGTAATGTTCTTTTGTGATTTGATTTCATTATAGTAATCTTTTTGTTTAATTAATGATCTAATTCCGTTACAGTTTTTATGAGATAACTATATTCTTACAGTTATCTAATAATAATCATAGCCTGTCTCATATCATAATTAAACTCAAGTTTAATAATTGAAGATGATAATAATTACAAATATTGAATGCAAAGAGTTATTAACCATAAAAACAATTATTTTATCCTTTGAATACAATTTTATTTCCACTTCATTTTTCGTCTCAAGGAACGAAATAACTTTTTTTCTTCCGTCAGTTTTCATTCTAAAGTATTATTATTATTATTATTATTATTATTATTATTATTATTATTATTATTATTATTATTATTATTATTATTATTATTATTATCTGTGGTTTCCGGGCATCGGTTTGCGAACCAGACTAACTGTACCCATCGGGTCCCGCTGTTTCAAGGCGTGCACCACGGTTAGTTCCACGGGGCCCTAGAAACGCGGCTGGTTTGTAATTCCCTCAGTGCCCTTGCTGGAGCTCGAACTGGCAACATGAAAAACTTTGTCTTCAGGCCTTTACCAACCGAGCTACCCTCAGGATTTCTGAAGTATTATTTGCCTCTCCTTTCAACATATTCCAAACAAAACTATCTCAAATAAGTACTAGTAGAAATTTTAATGTTTAACTTCAAATACTTTTTTCTCTTTCTCGATTTTCATTGGCTTGAGTAATTCGAATTCTCTCTATATAGGTCATTAAAAGGGGAATCATTTCGTATTCGAAATTTTTTTATTCCCAAAGCTTCAATTCAAGACCTCTAATTTACCAAAAAGGATTTCATCCACCACCACATTCCTTGATAATAAATACTTTTTTTTTTCTACTTTAGCCAAATATTGTCTAGACCTTATTAGTAATATGTGGATGAACAGAAAAGTAATTCCAGCTTTATTTCTAATGGAAACCAAACACAAGATAAGAAAAAACTTGTATATTTCCATTCCTCTCCCTACTTGGCTAGATCCCAAACAAATGATAATAATTGGGCCGTTTGGCCATACAAAATTTTTTTTACTTTTTTTTTTTAAAAAAATTTACTTTTTTCGAAATAAGCATTTGGCCATGAAATCTTCAATTTTTATTTGAAGATGAATTTTCAAATTTTTTAAAAATTTGAAAAACTCTAAAAAACTGTTTTTCAAAATTTTCACTTCAAATTACTCACAAAAATTCAAAAACAGCTTGAAATTATATTCATATCCAGACTCAACTCTAACTTTCAAATATCATTTTCACTTGATTTTTTTTTTAAACTTTTTTCCATAATTTTACAATTTTCACTTGAAGATGCATTTTGAAAATTTTCAAAAATTTGAAAAACTGCAACAAGTTGTTTCTTCAAAATTTCACTCAAATCACTCACAAAACTTCAAAAACAATCCAAACTGAAATTTATGTCCAAACACTATGTAACAACAAATTTTCGCGTCAAGAAAATAAATAATCAAGACCGGAAAATTGCGTGACAAATGTAGTATTTGATTTCAATAAATGAAAGTGTTACAATCTCTATGGTAATCCTCTGATTCTTCAAGAATGTAAAGTATATTGATGAACTTGATTTTGATTTGATTCAAGGGCTTGTAAAGCTTGATCTTGAATCTCCTCTTTGAACTTGAATTTGTATTTGATCACGAACAAGTAATTTGATCTTGAACGCCTTGGTATTTGATTTAGCTTCGTTCTTGATCTTGAACTTGAGCTTGAACTTGTAGCTTGAGTGCTTGAGTGCTTGAACTTGTAGCTTGTAGAGAAATCTGCAGTGTTTGATCCACGAGCTCTTTGCTTGCTTCTTGTTCTTAATTCTGGTGTCTTCTAGCTTTATGAAGACCTCTATTTATAGTTGTAGGGAGTGGTGTGGCTCTACGATTTGATTCGTCCGTTTGAATTGACCAATACCATCCAAACACTTGGCATGATTTAATTGGCCCATTTATTTGGCTTGGATTGCCACATCACTTGACAAATGATTTTGTTGGCTCATTCTTTTGACTTGGATTGCCACATCACTTGACACGTGGCATGATTTTGTTGGCTCATTCTTTTGACTTGGATTGCCACATCACTTGACACGTGGCATGAGCCTGGCCTTTTAAGATGGGCTAATAGTCATTTGGACCTTGGGCTAATGCAGTGGGCTTATCATTTAATTTGTAGTCCAATTAAATGGACTAGCCCAATACATATATTGGTTTTTTTTAACAATTAGCCCAATTTACTAGCCACAATATTTGTTTGGACTGATGTCTTGTATTAATATAGTCCAAATTATTCTATAAATTTAAATTTAATAAAATTTAAATACTTACAAATGCCCCCTACTTCAAGACTTGTCAAGATTTTTTTTTTTTTTTAATTTTGAAGACTAGGCTTGAAGTATTCATGTAAAAAAAAGTCAACACAAGAACGAAAGTTCCTTTGACTCTAAGTCCAATCTAACTTTGGACTTAGATTTATTTGAACTTGGTATTCTAATTTTGAAGACTACATTAAGGTATTCATTTGATTTGAGAATCTTCATATTCACGTAAGCTTTGTCTGCTCGCCCAAATTGCATGGTGCATTTACAATTCAAATTTTCTAAGAGATAATGACATAGAGTTCAAGTTGGAAACATATTTTCCATCCGCCAGTAGCTTGTTCTCCTAGTTGAATTAGAATTCTTTGCCATGTGTATCTTTTGAGATTGGTTAGGATTCAAAGACAATATCCATTTCCATGTAGGACTCAGCCATTTACCCAATTTTCACCCCTATAAATAGGGGTGCATAGTACTTTTTTTGTACCGTGCAAATTTCCTCTCAGCAATTTCAGAAAGCTAGAAGCTCTTTGTGTTTTCCAAAGGATAATCTTCTCCTTCTTTCATGTCACTTTTAATATCAGTACAATGATTATTATCATTTAATACCTGTACTTTTTTTTTTACAACGTGGGGAAGTGTAGGGAGAGTTCTCTGCATATTTTTCGAGAAGGTAATTGTCTCCTTTTAAATTCTTCATAGCTATGAAGGACTTGAATATTTTTTGTGTTATTTCCCCAGAAAACAAGTGCGATATATTCTTTTATTTAAGTAAGGAGAAGTACGATCTCGCTTCTTTTGCTCTCGTACTAATCCATCTCTCTTTTTATAGCATATTTTGCATCGCATGGCTTTATCATGAATTGCAAACTTCTATTTTTTTTATTCTTAATCCATGCACTGATTGCTTGCTTGGGCCATTTATGAACTTATCCATGCATATTTTCAAAAAAAAATTCTCACTGCC